TTCCCACGTGGCTTGTCCTCCCCTCCTCTCGTCGCCTCCTCCGTCCTCCCGTATCGCTGCGCCTCCCTTTCTGTCTGACTACCTTCGTGCCGCTCGTCCTCTTGTTCCTCAGGTTCTTGCCTCTCTCGTTAACAACCCGTCTATTCCGGTTTCGCGTCTTGACGCTCTTGTCGCTGCGGTCGCTGACTTCGCCTCTACCCACCGCCTTGACTACGCCACCGCTCTGGTCTCTGACCCTGCCTGTCCTCTGTCTGTCAGGGGTGCTTCTGCCCTCGGCAGTGACGTCCTGGAGGACCGCCAGTACGAGCTTGCTTTCCTGTCCGAGGCTGCTCCCCATCTCTGTTCCATGCTGCTAGTCCCTAAGGGTGACCCAGACGCTTTCGACATCCCGACCCCTCGCACTTACGCTGAGGCAGTTTCGGGACCTTGGGCCTCTCAGTGGATAGCTGCCATGGAGCAGGAGATGGCATCTTGGAAATCCACCGGCACCTACATCGACGCAATTCCCCCACCTGGGGTGAACGTAGTCGATGGCCGCTGGCTCTTCAAGGTAAAGCGCCCCCCTGGAGAGTCGGCTGTGTTCAAGGCGCGCTACGTGGCCAGAGGTTTCAGTCAGCGTGAGGGGGTGGACTTCTTTCAGACCTTCGCTCCGACCCCGAAGATGACTACTCTTCGGGCGCTGCCATACGTAGCAGCTCAGCGTGACTACGAGCTTCACTCTCTCGACTTCTCCACTGCGTTTCTTCAGGGCAGTCTATACGAGCAGGTCTACATGCGCCGCCCTCAGGGCTTCACTGGTACCTTCCCTTCTGGGACCCAGTGGCTCCTTTGGCGCCCCGTCTACGGCTTGCGGCAGGCTCCCCGTGAGTGGCATGACACGCTGCGTGCTACCCTTGCTAACCTGCAGTTCTTTCCGTCCTCTGCGGACCCCTCGTTCGTGCTATCCAGACTCTGTTCTACATCCTTGTTTACGTAGACGACCTGGTCTTCGCCACTACAGACAGGGATGCACTGGCCTCGGTGAAAGCAGAGCTGCTGAAGAGACACACCTGCACTGACCTTGGAGAACTGCGCCACTACCTTGGCTTGCAGATCTCCAGGGTCAGAGCAGCGCGCACCATCACCTTCACTCAGTCACACTTGGTGCGCCAGGTCCTTTAGAGGTTCGGCCTTCAGTTCTCCTCCGCACAGCCCACTCCTCTGCCTCTAGACCACAGGCTCTCTGCTCCAGTTCCTGAGGAGTCAGTAGAGCCCAGTGGTCCTTACGCAGAGCTGGTGGGTTGCCTCATGTACCTGATGACTTGCACTCGCCCAGATCTTGCATACCCTCTCAGCATCCTGGCTCGCTTTGTGGCCACATGCAGACACCGACCTCAGCACTGGTCTGCCGCTAAGAGGGTTTTGCATTATCTTGCAAGTACATCGGGCATGGGGTTAGTGCTAGGAGGATGCAGGCCAGTGGTCCTTACTGGACACACAGACCCTTCTTGGGCAGACGACGCTGAGACCCTCAGGTCCTCGCTATTTTCCCGATGAGGAGACGAGTACCGTGCTCAGTCGAAGCTGCGAACATTTCAATTTAATCAGTTACGATCTAATAGAAACGCCTGACGTTTAGTACAGCGTCCTGTTCCAGCCCTATCCCGCCTTTGAACCTTCACTTCGCGCCGAACCAGCCGCCATAATGCTGAATGTGACAATAGCGGAGGCGGCGCAAATGCTGGGGAGACCTTTAACGGCAGCGGAGACGGCGTGGGTGGGCGCGACAGCGGGCGTGGCGGACTACCAGCTGTGCTGCTGCACCGTGGTGCTGCTGGTGGCGCTCTACTCGCTCGCGTGCCTGCCCTACGCCGTCCTCGACTACCTTCGCCTAGTACAGACTGCAGCCCACCATCTACCACTCGCCAGCTGACACGTGGAAGTGCTACAGGGACGTGATCAGCGTGATGCTGACCACCATTCTGCCGCTCCAGTTGCTCTCGTACCCTTTCTTCAAGGTATCGTCCCGTCGTTCTTCCACCCCTCTCGCATCGCATCTTCGCGGCACATTCCCGTGTTGGCCCGCTGTGGCTCCTCCTGTCGTGATGCTCACAGCAACTGTCACCTTTCTCCTGCCTCACTCACAGCAACTGTCACCTTTCTCCTGCCTCACTCACAGCACCGCTTGTAGCGACTAGCCGGCACCTCGCACGTCTTTCACCTCGCCCGCTCTGGCCCCCCTCCTCGCCGATCCCTATCCCCCTACCCCCCTACCCCCCTATCCCCTACCCCCCTACCCCCCTATCCCCCTATCCCCCTATCCCCCTATCCCCCTACCCCCTACCCCCTATCCCCCTATCCCCCTATCCCCCTACCCCCTATCCCCCCATCCCCACATCCCCCCATCCCCCCATCCCCCCATCCCCCTACCCCCTACCCCCCTATCCCCCTACCCCCTACCCCCCTATCCCCTACCCCCCTTCCCCCCTATCCCCCTATCCTCCTATCCCCCTATCCCCCTACCCCCCTATCCCCCTATCCCCCTAACCCCCCTACCCCCCTATCCCCCTATCCCCCTATCCCCCTACCCCCCTATCCCCCTATCCCCCTATCCCCCTATCCCCCTATCCCCTATCCCCCTATCCCCCTATCCCCCTATCCCCCTATCCCCTATCCCCCTATCCCCCTATCCCCCTATCCCCCTATCCCCCTATCCCCCTATCCCCCTATCCCCCTATCCCCCTACCCCCTATCCCCCTATCCCCCTATCCCCCTATCCCCCTATCCCCCTATCCCCTATCCCCCTATCCCCCTATCCCCCTATCCCCCTATCCCCTATCCCCCTATCCCCCTACCCCCCTATCCCCCTATCCCCCTACCCACCTATCCCCCTACCCACCTATTCCCCTTCTCCCTCTCCCCGCGCTTGTCTTCTCGCCGCCCTTACAAGCCCTCCACCTTCGCCGCCCGTAACTCCCCCCCGCACCTCCCCCCCGCCACCACCCCGGCGCCTCTCGCCTTCCAGCCGACCCTCGCAGTGCGCCCACAAGGAGGCCGGAGTCACGGCGACCTCGCCCCTCTCATCCTGTGCTGTGTGCTATCGCCATCATTGGAATACATGGATCTTCCCACTCGCCTTCACCTTCCTTCACCTTGCTCCCCTCATCCCCGCTCCCTCAATTCCCCCCTCCTACCCCAACTGCTGGATGCACCGCCTGTTCCACCAGCGCCTGTTCCACCAGCGCCTGTTCCACCAGCGCCTGTTCCACCACTGCCCGCTGTCCCCTCCGCTGTCCACTGCTGGTGCACCGCCTCGCCATCACACCTCTTCCCCTTGCCCTCGCCCGCCGCCATACTTCCAACCAGCCGGCGCTGCACCAAGCATGGCGGCCCCCTATTCTCTCTCGACCAGGTCCTTCACGTCCTCCTCGTCTCCTACCACACCCCTTCCACTGGCGCTTGCTCATTTCCTCTCTCATCCCCTCTCGTCCGCCCCCGTGCATTGCACCGAGCAGGTAGCCGGCATCACGGCCTCTCTGCCCCTGCCAACGCTATCCAGCATGGCGCTGCAGATATTCGTGTTTCTGCTGCTCGAGGACTACGGCAACTACTGGATCCACCGCCTCTTCCACCACTCCTTCCTCTACAAGCACATCCACTACAAGCACCACGAGTACACGTCTCCCATGGGCGCGGCCGCCACGTACGCGCACTGGGCGGAGGTGCTGGTGCTGGGCATCCCCACCTTGGTGGGGCCGGCCATGGTGCAGTGCCACGTGGTCACGCTGTGGGCCTGGATCCTGCTGCGCCAACTGGAGGCCATCGAGACGCACTCAGGGTATTGGACGGTACGCAGGTGGATGGGGGGTGCGCAGGGTGCATCTGCTGCTTGCAGGGTGTATCTGGGGCTTGCAGGGTGCATCTGGGGCTTGCAGGGTGCATCTGGGGCCTACCCAACCCCCCTCCCACCTATCCACCCCCCTCCCACCTACCCGCCCCCCTCCCACCTACCCACCCCCCTCCCACCTACCCACCCCCCTCCCACCTACCCAACCCCCCTCCCACCTACCCAACCCCCTCTCCTGGCCAGCTACGACTTCTTCTGACCTCGCCTTCCAACTCCCCCACTTTCAACATCCCCCCCCCTTACCCCGCCCATCCCCCCCCACCTGCCCAGGTACGACTTCCCGTGGTCGCCCACGTGGCTGATCCCGTTCTACGGCGGGCCGCGCTTTCATGACTACCACCATGAGGTGGGGGGCCACAGCCACTGCAACTTCGCCTCCATCTTCACCATCTGCGACTGGCTCTACGGCACCGATAAGGTGAGATGAAATCTTCCTGTGAGGTGAAACCGTACGGCACAGGCGAGGTGGGATGAAACTGTACGGCACAGGCAAGGTGGGATGAAACTGTACAGCACAGGCAAGGTGGGATGAGACCGTATGGCATGGACAAGATGAGCGAAACCATGTGGCACTGACAAGGTGGATTGAATCTGTATGGCACCAACATGGAGATGAAATCGCACAGGTGAGAGAATTCTTTGGATGAGACAAAAGAAACAAAAGTGTCTGGTCAGGTGAATCCATACGGCAGCCAAGGTGAGGTGTAGAAAGCACCCCATGGTTCTGTGGTCCAGAGCCAAGCAGCAGCCCCGCCGTGCAGCACAAGAAAGGCGTGCATGGAAGACAGGAAGGGGCGAGTTGCTGCATTGCCAAAACTCAGTGACGCCTTTCAACAACGCTTAGCCCATGCATGGAGGGCGACGCCTAGTCCATATCCACACACTTGCTTCCTCTCTCTCCTCCCCCCCACCCTGCACCCTACGTGTGCAGGGCTTCCACGCCACGTCGGCTGCCCAGCACAGCATGCAACTCACTCTTCCCACTGCTCTCCCCTGCCTCCCACGCCCCTCCCCCCTTCCCCTCACCCCCCCCTCCCCCCCCTGGCTGTGGGCCATGCGTGGCATTGTGGCCCCTCCCGTGCGCGCAGGGCTACTACGCCAAGGTGGCGGCTGAGGAGAAGATGAAGGTGAGCCATGCAGGGGGGGCGAGCGAGGGAGGGAATTCACCTCATCAGGGGATGTGGGACAAGTTGGCTGAGGTAACTAAGGGGAGGCAGGTGCCTACACCATCCTGTTGTGCACGGTTACTGCTGAGGGGAAGATGGCACCGTTGAGGGGGGTTGGGGGAGGGGGGTTTAAGTGATCAGGGGACGCGGGGAAGGCTGATCTAAGAGGCAACCGCAGGGGCTTCCACCAAAAGGCGCTGGTGCTTTTTAAAACGTGCCAACGAGCATGGGGTGTTGGAGAGAGGTGCCTGTGAGTTTTGATGCTGACCATTGACTCGCCGGTGGGTGGGAGTGCTTGCTTGTGTGTGGTTAGCTGCGTTGCGTAGCTCGCCCACTACTTCCCCCTCTCCTCTTACTGGTGCCTCTCTGTTGCTCACTAATGTTTGCCACCCCTGGCTTCTCTATGCTTGCAGAAACGAAGGGCAGAAAATTCGAAGAAGGAACAGTAGAATAAGCCTCCCTCGCTGTAGAGATGCTTGTCATTGTCTCTACCTAGCATACATGCTTGGGAAACACTTGCGATATGCCAACTACCGGCACTACAGGTTACCCAGTCAATGACTTGTTTTATCTACAACAGCAGTGAGCTTGGAAAAGGAATGCGAAAACCTGCCGAGACAAACTTTGGCTTTGGGGGATGTGTCCAACGACATGTTTGGGAGAAGCAGCGAAAGGAGAGAGGAGCGAGGGGGGCAGCATGAGTGGAAGATTCATCCATCCCACGCCACGCCGCGACCACATCTCCACCACATCTATTCTCGGCCGTGGCTGCGCCGCTTCAGGAGCTCCCTCGCAGGCTAGCGCCACGGCAGGCAGACCATGAGCGCACTTTAGTGCATGGCCTCTCCGCTTGCTTTGCCAGTTCCATGCCGTTTAAATTGAGCTCACTGGTTACTCTTCATTTCTAACAACCCCTCCCAAATCGCCCGGCACAAAATTTCAGGCCCCCAAAACATGCCCGCAAATGTACCGTAATCACCCGGATAGACGCCCCTAGGGGCGTTTACTAGACTGGTTTGAAAACGTGGGGGGGCGTTTAATTGAATAAAAAATATAAGCCCATGGGCGTTTTAAAGGGATTATATGGAAAATAAAAGTTTGACATCGACATGTAGCTGCTGGTTTGTCGTGTGCAATGGGAGTAATTTTAGGCGAGGATGAAAAGTCAATCGCGTTGGAAGTCCAGTCACCACGGTGCCAGGCTGGAAACTTCCTTTTCTGATACAAATCGGCTGCGTTCTGCAGGCAGAAAAGGAAAGTGCAGATTACATCAGAGCACCTTCCGAAAGCCTGATTTTTTGCTTCGGATCGAGGGTCAGCCCGCAAAATTTCGTTCAAACCTAGCACAAGGTACCCGAACCTAGTTACATCAAAATGCCTGCAGAACAGGTCCATGTACAGATGACATCTACGTCAGGGAAACACCCCCCTTGCTTCCCTCCCTGGAAAATTTGGCGTAAAGGTGACGCAATGCTGACGTTCGCTAAATCGAGGAGTTCACCTTGCATGTGGCATTACATCAGCCTCAATTTGGCTCCTCTCTCCTTTTGCTCGCGCTTTCCACAGTTTGGCGCGTTGCTTCCTAGCGAGGTTTGGAAAGTGCACCTGGTTTGAGTGGTAACCAGTGCTCTCGAAGTCGCTTGAGGAGCTTCCTCGATGTCGACGTCGACGTCGACGTCAAATGCCTGTAGAACACAGCCATCGTGCTGGCGCGAGGTGTCAGGGAGCGTGAGTTCCGCCTCTGACGGGCACGAAGCGAGAAGCCTCGGTATTACCTGCACCCGTTCGGTCTATTTGTACAGTGTTTCAACTGAATTTCTGAGGGGGCTTATAGGGTACATGTTCTGAAAAAATAAGGGGGGCCTATAATCGAATAATGCCTATAAGTCCCAATGCACGAGTTAGAGCCCATGAGACTAATCCTACGGAGGGGCGTCTATCCGGGTGATTACGGTAGCATGCTTTGTGGAATGCTTTAGGTGCAGTGTGCGAAGAGTCCCACAACAAGAGAGTAAGTGTGTCCGCAGGATGGGAGGCGAGGAAAATCAGAAGGCGCAGAGGGACGAAACCCGGCATGTGTCGTGTGTCGGAACATCGCAGCCCCGACATAATGAGTTTCGCTACAACGGATTGTGAGCATACGGAGATGGTGTGCCCTTATAACAGATCGCGAAAATGTTCACCACCCAGTTTGGGCCACGTAGCATTCCAGCTCATGAACCGTCCTGGTGGTGGTTCGGAACAGGGCTTCGTATTGAAATTTTAGCCACTCGTCAAATCTGGGTTCCCTACCAAGACCATCCGATAAAGTCCGTTTCCGGCCCCTTTCGTGCTTGTCAAAGTCCATTTTCTGGCCATAATCCCTCGAAACCTACGTTTACAACCCGTTTTCGAACCAGAATCGACCCGTTAACCCCCGGGTTCAGAGATAACCAAATCCGTGAAAAAGGGAGTTCCGGTCTAAAATGACCCGTTAAAGTATCCTTATACGTGTAATTACCCGTCAAAACGGATGTTTGGGCATGAAGGATGAACGCTATTGGTCCTAAACTCAAATCCCCATTGCGCAGCCCGAGCTGCAAAACTCTGATCTCCAATCAGGAAGCCCAACCACTATCTTCTCTCTCAGGGAACCCACCACCGACCAACGCTTCCTATCCATCCCAACCCAGCCCAACTCTAAAACGCAAACCCTAACCCAACTCCCTCTCTAAATTTCCGCACCATCTCAAATCGCATGTCTATGCCTTAGCTAGGAACGAGTCCTGAAATATTCTAGTGGTGGCTAGCTAGGCTATTAGCTTAGCATTCGCCAATCGCCGCATGATTCTCTGCAATTAGCTGTACTCCAATGTTACGCGCGTGTCCTTTTGCACCTTAGGATATGCCAGTAGCTCTGTTTTACACGGCGCCACGGACTGGATCGTGTGCCAGTGAACTGCGGGCACTTTGAACTGTGGGAAAGAGGGTAGGCTAACCCCAAGTCTTGAATAAAAGATGATAATGCATTTCGACTTGACTATGACTCAGCTGGAGGATCGTTTTGGGGCATATCTTCTAAGGATAATTTGTACAGATCTCCTATTTGGGACGTTATAGAAAGAGCGACCCGTCAGCTCTGCAGCCTTCGACTATCGTCATGGCCACTCGCTTCCCGCCCTCACCCTAGCTGTCGCAGCTTGCCTCGTGCTGCTCGGTAGACCACATGTCCTCTCCCTATTTCCCCGAGTTATTCCCTATTTCCTATTCCGGATACGTTTCCACTGATGCGTTTTCTCTGCTCTTTCCCACTCATTCCTCACTCCCCCACTCTTCCCGTGCACCGCGACCGCTCATCACTCGTCACCTGCGTCCGCTACCCCGGTGCTCAAGCAGGGTCAAGTCAGGGGTATACTCTACAGCCCCGCTCTCCAGTCCATATGGCAGCGTATGTGGTGGTATGGCTGCATGAACCAATGGTATAACAGCGAGCACATAACAGCGCGCACATGGCAGCGCGGACATGGCAGCGCGCACATGGCAGCGCGGACATGGCAGCGCGCACATGGCAGCGCGCACATGGCAGGGCGCACATAGCAGCGGGCACATGTCAGAGCGCACATGGCAGCGCTCACATGGCGGCGCGCACATGGCGGTGCGCACATGGCAGCGCGGACATGGCAGGGCGGACATTGCAGGGTGCACATGGCACCGCGCACATGGCACCGCGCGCACATGGCCGCGTGCAGATTGCAGCGCGCACACGGCACCGCGCACATGGCAGCGGGCACATGTCAACGCGCTCATGGCAGCGCGCACATGGCAGCACGCACATGGCAGCGAGCACATGGCAGCGGGCAAATGTCAGTGCGCACATGGCAGCGGGCACATGGCCGCGCGCATATGGTCATGCGCACATGTCAGCGCGCACATGGCAGCAGGCACACGTCAGCGCGCATACGGCAGCGTGCACATGGCGGTGCGCACATGGTAGCTGGCACATGTCAGCGCGCACATGGCAGCGCCCACATGGCAGCGGGCACAAGTCAGTGCGCTCACGGCAGTGCGCACATGGCAGCGCGCACGCGGCAGCGAGCACATGGCAGTGGGCACATGTCAGCGTGCACATGGCAGCGGGCACATGGCCGCGCGCACATGGCAGCGGGCACATGTCAGCGCGCATATGGTCGCGCGCACATGTCAGCGTGCATACGGCAGCGCGCACATGGCCGCGCACACGTGGCAGCAGGCACATGTCAGCACTCATACGGCAGCGCGCACATGGCCGCGCGCACATGGCAGCTGGCACATGTCAGCGCGCACATGGCAGCGCCCACATGGCAGCAGGCACAAGTCAGCGCGCTCACGGCAGTGCGCACATGGCAGCGCGCACGCGGCAGCGAGCACATGGCAGCAGGCACATGTCAGCGTGCACATGGCAGCGGGCACATGGCTGCGCGCACATGGCAGCGGGCACATGTCAGCGCGCATATGGTCGCGCGCACATGTCAGCGCGCATACGGCAGCACGCACATGGCCGCGCGCACGTGGCAGCAGGCACATGTCAGCGCGCACATGGCAGGGGACAGATGTCAGCGCGCTCATGGCAGCGCGCACATGGCAGCGCATATGGTCGCGCGCACATGGCAGCGCGCACATGGCAGCACGCACATGCCAGCGCACATGGCAGCGGGCACATGGCAGCGCGTACATGGCAGCGGGCACATGTCAGCGCGCACATGGCAGCGCACACATGGCATGGGACACATGTCAGCACGCTCATGGCAGCGCGCACATGGCAGCACGCACATGGTAGCGGGCACATGTCAGCGCTGTGCACGGCGGCGCGCACATTGCCGCGTGCACATGGCAGCGCGCACATGTCAGAGCTGCGCACGGCGGTGCGCACATAGCCGCGCGCACATGGAAGCGGGCACATTTCAGCGCAGCACATGGCAGCGCCCTCATGGCAGCGGGCACATGGCAGGGCATGCATGGCAGCGCGCACATGGTAGCGGGCACATCTCAGCGTGCACATGGCCGAGCACATGGCAGCGGGCTCATATCAGCGCCCACATGGCCGCGCCCACATGGCCGTGTGCACTTGGCAGCGGGCACATGTCAGCGCGCACATGGCAGCGCCCTCATGGCAGCGCCCACATGGCAGTGCGCACATGGTAGTGCATACAAGGCAGCGCGCATATTGCAGTGCGCACCACAGATGGAAGCGCATGCAGGTGCGCGCACAAGTTGCCACTTGCTAAACGCCCCAAACCCCTTTTCCGCCATCTGCCATGTACAGGTTACATGCTGCACCACGTCCGTGGTGCTGTCTATCTGTCCTACTGCATGGCCGTGGCTTCTAGATGGAGGTAAGACAGGTGTAAGTCTCACTAACTTGAGGAACTGGCCATGGTTACAACATCTCTCAGGTCATGGCCTCGTGATGCCATGGGGAGACCTGCTGGCAGCTCACACCCTCAGGTCAAGCCCTTGCGATGCAGTGGGGAGAAGTTATTATTTTCACCATGCAGAATTTTGCCCCAAATGATCATCTTCTCGTCTCCCCTAACTGCAGCCTCTTTTCCCACTTTCCCGTCACCATATGTGTCGCCTACCTGTGCAGCTAGAAGACAACACGGCGCAGGGCATCAATCAAGTCAGCTGGAGTGGGCTAAAGCTGCAGGCTATCGCCTTTGCCCTGCTTGAAAGCAACTTGGCAGTAGTTGTGCTTGCTGCTTATGTGCATCTGTATAGTGGATTTTGTGGGTGGTTTAATGTCCCCTGAACTTCTGAGTAAAGAACTAGAAATTCCTTCAGAAGGAACACATCCCCATCCTGAGGATGGTATGAATGAGCAACTTGACACCAAAGGGGGAGGTTTCTGGCAACAACTTGTGAGGTTTAGCACAGCACATGGGTGTATAATCTACAGTAGCACCATCTGAATGGCCAGCAGAGCGTGCTGCCTCGTTAAAAGGTCCGTTACACGAGAAGGGCGGGTAAGTCTTAGAAAAAGTTGGACATGGACCCCATTACAGCCACGTCTCAGCATGGTGGTCAGGGAGAGAGTCCTGCGGGCTTGGGTAGATGCAGTGCCCCGACCAAGTCCAGTACTAGTAAATGCATG